AGTGAATCACTCTTATCCTCCTTATATTATGTATATTACAGGAATCTAAAACTTTGGAAATATGAAAAACAATGATTGATAAATAATAGTGTTAAGCACTAACATAAATTTTTAATTTTTTGGTAAAACAACGCGAAAATTTAGATTTTATCTCATCAATTTTATAAAATTTCGGAGACTCTGTTTTTGTATCACGCAGCTGCTCTTAGTTTTGAGGATACGAATTTTCAAGAAAATTTGTTTTTCAAACTCTCAAATATTTACTAAGATTTGTAAGATTACAGTCGCTTGTAATACCGAGTCTTTCTATGATTTTAACTCTCAATTTTCTTAAATTAGAATATTTTCAAGGAATTGTGATATTCTAAATTTTCAAAGCACAAAACTCTACGATTTGAGAGATTCAAATTTTGAATCTTTTTTCTCCCCTGGATTTGGGTAATTGATTTTTCTTGACGGCGTTTCTTGAACGTAATTTAGATATTTAGCCGCCACGCGTAAGGTAGCCAACGTTATACACTAACAACAGTAACGTGACGAATCAAAATCATAAAGCCTAAGGCACCTTGTAACTTAATAAATAGTGCACGCTTAGTAGTCCCTACGTCTCTTACAAACGACAAGAATGGCAGCCCTACAAACCAGCACAATGCTTTTCATTTCTTCCAACAACTGATAAACTATTTTCGTATGTGGTGCATTTTCAATTTATATCAAAGCAACACCACAACTCTGCAGAACTATCAAAAAAATGTTGCCAAACGGTCATAATGAGAAATTCGCGAAACACAAGTGAAATGAATCTTTCAATGATATGATTAAATTATGCTAATAACGACACGCTTGTTAATTAGATATTCCTACCTTCAATTCACAGAAAAGCCGATACAAAAATTCAGGGCAAAAAAAATAAAAAAACCTTATGATTTTTTCTCTTCTTTCCCTGTTTGTGGCCGACCCATTTAGGAGAATTTAGAACTTTCAACGAAAATGAGACCTGCGCCACATTTTTAAGTTCTTTTGCTCTATCCCAGTGGTATACTTAAAGAAAAAATTGGAGCCCTTTTTGATAAACAATTGTTTATTATAACCTTTATTTCATGCATAAATTACGCGAATACTACTCGTTTTCTCTACCAATTGCACACGACCTGATTATAAGATCTAACTTTTTAAAGCAGATTTCATTTTAAAAGAGTAATATTGCAATTTTCGAACATTTAAAGATTTCGTCATAATTGGAAACGACGTCATTTGTGGCGACTAATTGCCAATTCGAAGAAAATATTTAAATTGAAAAATTTTGGAGCGGTTTCTTCAAAGAAATAATTGTTTTAAAATTGCTTATAGACAAAAATAGTATACAACCTTTTTAAAAATAAGTTTTTGAAGATGTAAGAGGAAAAAATCTGTATATTCAATGTTGGAGTTGCGGGAAGACGTCGAAAAATGTTTCAAATTTTTCACATTTCATAAATATTAATCAGTTCAGAAATTTTAGTAAAATGTGACTTCCGCCATTGTTAAGCGTCCTTTGCGCTATGCAAAAAAATTTTAATCCAAACATTTGGAGCTATTTTTGAAAAAAATTTGAAAAAGATGAGGCTCGGTGCCAAATTTGTATTCTCAGCCAAAGAAGCTGTAATAACTTTAAACTCAACTTGTGACGAACGGCATAATATTTTCAACAAAGCACGTCCTCAACAATATCAATGGTTATTCGTTCCCCCAAAAATTGTAACCTAGAAGAAACAGTTATCTGACTTGAAGAGTATATATTCTTTATTTTCCAGCATTCAAAGTTAATAAATGGTTTGTAAGTGCGACCACGTGGCTTTCTGAAAATCGTAGTGTGGATACGAGCTCTTGCCAGCAAGTTTATTCTCCCCCCCCCCCCCCGCGAGTGCCACTGATGAAGAGACCTCCACGTGGCAGTCGTACGATGCGGCCGAAGTGGCGCGTACTAGAGCATTGACCATTACAATACATTCCCATACCGCCAAAAGTAACTGAATTTAGTTCTATTGCGATCATCAAAACCTATGGACTCGAGGTTCGAAAAATCGGAAAATAGTTCTCAAAATTCTCCAAACATGAAAAAATCATTGTTGTTTAAAAGTCAACCTCTTGCCGTTATATACATAAAATGCAGGATTATCGTTTTCCATTTGTGATTTCACCTCGTTTTCTAAGACTTTTGGGTGAAGTGAAAATTCTCATTTTGGGGAAATCACCGACACTGAGCTTCTGCGCACAACGTAGGAATTTCGCGATTACCTTTTCATAACAGAGAAAGAAAAAGAAAACTCTAAAAGCTTTAATTTCAAAATTGTAAATTGAATAAAGGAAACGTTTAAAATACGTTTAACGTACAAACGCAATAAATGGAATTTGAAAATACTAATTTTCTGAGGTAACTTCTAGCTAAAACGAGCTAAAATTGATTTATTATTCATAATTATAAATTCATTATTACAAAAATTTATTTTTCAGGTGCCAAAATCTCCATTTTAGGACGTGTTTTCTTTTCTGATCAAGTGAATAGTACTAAAATTATTTCAAAATGTAGAGATGTGTCTAATGCTACGTGTTTTTAACGCTATCAAATTATTTCTTTAGACAACACTGCTATTTCCGCCACATTGTTCGAACATCGTCGCGGTAATATCACCTTCGACAATCAAGCATAAATATGAATTAATTCGTTTTAAGATCGTAGGAAATATGGAGCAGGACAGAGGAACATCTGCACATAGTTAACTGACTAATTATTAGGTACACAATGTGGCCATCTACCTCACAAGTCGGATTTTAGGTCCACGCAATCTTCACTGTTGTAATCCAGCAGAAAATTTCGTCTGGCAGCAGATCATCGAACAGCGTATGTATAATAATAATAAAAATTGTTAATAAATTAACGCCAAGAAGACGAAAAATTAGTATACTTTACAATCTTAGCCTAACGTGACACTGCACACTATTATCTTCAAGTGATTGATAAAATGGGGTAATTATAATAGAATAAGATACCCTATAATGCATACCCTATAATTATAATAGAATACAATACCCTATAATGCATAGGGTTGTAATTTGTTCAATTCTACTCCTTTTACTAACGTGTTAACTAGTAAATTTGTAACAAAAACATCAGTTTACTAAATAATGAGTCTATAAATTGATTTCTCTCACTACAGATTTACATTCAAGAAATCTCAACATTCTGGTAAATCATTTTTCTTTTACTTCACTTAAGAAAGGTTTCGATTATAGATAAAACACCTTTGCTCAAATTCTATGAATGTATTGCTGGGAAAGTGGGAAAACAACTAGCAATAAAGGAAATGTGCTGTGCGGTACAGGATGATGCACTGTTTTTTCTCAAATTCAGAATGCAATATCTACTTCAGTATCTGGAAAGATGCCGTACGAGGCAGTTTTGCATGGCTTTCATTCAGTGAATCACTCTTATCCTCCCTTATATTATGTATATTACAGGAATCTAAAACTTTGGAAATATGAAAAACAATGATTTGATAAAAATAGTGTGTTAAGCACTAACATAAATTTTTAATTTTTATGGTAAAACAACCGCGAAAATTTTAGATTTGTTATCTCATCAATTTTATAAAATTTCGGAGACTCTGTTTTTGTATCAGCGCAGCTGCTCTTAGTTTTGAGGGATACGAATTTTCAAGAAAATTTGTTTTTCAACTCTCAAATATTTACTAAGATTTGTAAGATTACAGTCTTGTAATACCGAGTCTTTTCTATGATTTTAACTCTCAATTTTCTTAAATTAGAATATTTTCAAGAAATTGTGATATTCTAAATTTTCAAAGCACAAAACTTTCTACGATTTGAGAGATTCAAATTTTGAATCTTTTTTTCTCCCCTGGATTTGGGTAATTGGATTTTTCTTGACGCGTTTCTTGAACCTAATTTAGATATTTAGCGCCACGCGTAAGGTAGCAACGTTATACACTAACAGTAACGTGACGAATCAAAATCATAAAGCCTAAGGCACCTTGTAACTTAATAAATAGTGCACGTCTGTAGGAGTCTCTACAGTCATCTTACAAACGACAAAATGGCCGCCTAAAAACAGAAATGCTTTCATTTTTCCAACACTGATAAACTGATTTTCGTATGTGGTGCAGTTTCAATTTATTATTAACCAACTCCACAGCTCTAGCAAGAACTATCGAAAAAATGTTGCAAAGGTGATAGATGAGAAATTCGCGAAACAAAAGTTGAAATAATATCTTCATGTTAGATTATAATTTATGCTAATAACGAACGCTGTTATTAGATATTCCGTACTCATTCACGAAAAGCCGATACAAAATTCCAGGGCAAAAAATAAAATCCTTTACATGATTTTTCCTTTACTCTACATTCGTACCGAGGGTCCAATTTCTCATTAATCGTCTAGTCTATTTGGTATCTTATTTAACTTTTTTGTTCAAAGCATAAAATGCGTATTTTGTTATAATGTATAACGAATTGCCGCAACTGCTACAGCTCATTCGAACGTTGTTCCTAGGACCTACATATTACAATTAACAGAGTTTCCTTTCAAGGTCACGGGCTGGAAGGAGAGGGAGACACTGTCTTGCAATTACGAGCTTCAATACCAAAAATGTAAGCCGTAACGAAGCTCCTAATTGGATGTCAGTGTCGCCGTTACCTTACAGCTCGTGATTTTAGAGAGTCACAGTTTTAATCAGAGGAAAATGTCGTTATTTTTCGATTGTTTTGGCGTCTGGAGGTTACACGAAACCGGTGTGGTCGCGGGTCCCTTTTTCGTGCGTGACCTTGAGACGCCATGTTAAAAAAAATCGAAGTACAGTCACTTGACCAAATAGTTTAAGAATTTCTCCTTACTCCCTAACATGCAGTGTCTACCATCAGGTGTTTTCGAGGGAGGCCCGTGGATCGCAAGAGGAGTCATATGGCGGGGGAGCAAAGTGCCCCATGTGTCGCGGGGGGCGCTAGCTATGCCACTGTCACGTGCGTCGGAAGAGTCGACGGCGCGTGGGATTGAGGATGACAGCGAAGTAGAGGTGGAGGGAGGTGCCTCCTCGCAGGTACCTACAGGAAAAGGCCGGCCGGCCGGCGACCTGCCTCGAGTTACTGTAAGAAGGGTCGGCAAACAAATGAACGTCATGCAGGGCTGTTACATAGCATGCGATAGTGATGAAGGCATTTACAAACGAGCTCATTGTAAACGAACGCACTGACAAAATAATTACATTGATGTAAATTGCACTTATATTGCTAGCAGTGGCCAAGCAGAATCAGTCCAATCGGCCCCTTCTTATAGAAATCTCTGTATACTTTGAGGTCGCTAATGTTGAAGGGCCGTGAATGTTTTGGCTCGAAAGGTCGCGGGTTCGAATCCTGTCCCAGGCAGGGATGTTTGTGTGTGTTCATGTTGTTCAAATGTGCGTTTCCCTTACCGTTACCTGAAAGACACACATCACTGTTAAAAATTAGAGTGCTTGCTGTATTACGAAAGCAGTTATAATGCGACCTTAAAAAAATAAAGGTTCAGGGGGCATCGTGGCTCTGAAAATACTCGTAGGTATCTTTCCCTATTGGAACAACTTTCTCACCATTTCTCTTTCAATGCATTTTCAGGAATGAAATTGCAACGGAGAAAAACTTCTAATTGAAACCACGGAAAACTAAGAGCCAAACACCAGAGCAGCCGTCTGCTATAATTCTTCCCCAGATAGTGACAGAATTTGACCGAGCTATTTAGTGACGAAAATCCGTCACCCTCAGAAATCTAGCAGTGCTGCAGGACATAATTCTATTAAGCCATCCCAGTGAATTTGCTATTCTAGAAGCGTTCGCTAATGTTTCTGACGATGATCTGAAAATATACTGAAAAACAGCCCAACAGAAAAAGTAGAATATCACTAGAAACATTTTCATAAACAGTAATTTACGAATAACGAAAACAAAACATAAGTATTTCCTTGCCTGAAATACTGCGGGAATACTTTGACACACGTTCATCACGTAGAGCGGACGATGGTAGCACCATTCTACGAACTCAAGCCTTCCAAGAGCTTACCTTGAAGTGTACGTATTTATCACTCATGGTTCCGGTGGCATACCAGTTATACGTATACTCTGAGCAGTGTCAGGAAGTCTGTTTTATGCAGGCTTGTGAAATGATATTTTGGGAAGGCTGCGGCTCTTTCTTTCTCTACTTACTGTTATTAAAGTTAGAAAAATAAAAAGCAAATTTTAAGAGTAGAGGATAATAATCCGCGCCCCCAAATATTTGGAGATTTTAAAGTAGTTATGTATAAAGTACTTATTTTTATTTCTTGTTCATATACTCCTTTCAGTATTAAAAGGATTCACATTATTTTAAAAACGCGCTGCTCCATGTTTTCACAGAGCCATTGCCAAAGAAAAATTTACAGAGTAAGTTGAATGGTTGCTTTTAACGACATCAGTTGGCTCTGTAAGTTCGAACTTACTGCTGACGAAGCTTATTATACTGCCATCAGTAAGTAACCTTGACGTATTTTATCAACACAATGGAAAATAAGTGTATTAAGAAATATCACCTTGCATTGTACGTGGGATTTTTCACTCATAAGTAATAATAAAGTACATCAACAATTTTCGTTTTGTTATTTAAGGTCGCATCAACAGCTTGGTCATTAGCGACCACTATTGCGTGTAACGGTATGGTAACTGTGTGTATGACACAATATTGATGATGATAGGGGGTGCAAGGACGAACACAAGAAAACCAGGCTCGTGGAAGGACTCGAACGCGCGATCCTTCGGTCCGAGATCGCTACGGCTCTACTACGTTAACGATCTCGCCCATCCAGACCGGCATGTCAACAACTATTACGGGCGTAAGGCGATATTACTGACGGTAACGCAGTACAGTGATTTGGGTGTCAACGTCCCAAAACCTCCGTATGCGCAGGGCACGTTGCTGTCCGCTGAGGACGAGCGGGAGAATTGCCCGGGCAGACGGCCGTCCGAAAGAGGTGACTGCAGCCCAGGAGACAGCAACAGGCAGTGGTGCGTCAGCCCTCCAGACCAGCGCGGCACCGTGCAGCGGTGAGTCATATGAGGTACGATTACAGTGGTTCACCTTCCCACACAAAGGGAGGCTACTCGAGAGGAAACTGTATTGGGGTTGGAGTTTTATATAGTAATAGATTAAAATATAAGTATTGGTATGCCAAAATACTAGCAATTTTGACACTCGCTTCCGTAAAACTCACTTCATGTTTTCAAATGTTCATATGCGTCGTTTGCCATCGAACATTCCTTCAAATACAGACTACAAATACTTACACACAAATCCATCAGAAATCAAGTTATTTTTGGGCCTCTGAAAGTCAGCTGCGTCGTCCTTTGTGATACCCTGTCCTTGTGAAATCGTAGGAAAAAAACTAGTCATTATGAAAAATTCTTTATGGCCTCCTTAAGAGTTACAATTTTGTAGAACAGATTTTATTCAAAATAAGAGTCCCTGTCTTCATTGATTAAGATCCAGGAGATATCAACCATATTGTTTAAAGTATATTTAATATTATAAATCATTAACCAGGCACACGTTCGGGTTTTTTCTTCTTATCCAATTTTCCGAGCCACCAAGTATCATGAATTAAAAACACAACTCTGCGCCCTGTTGTACTGTACAATAATTAACCACAGAGGTTAAGGGAACCAGTTGAGGGAATCTTATGCCTTCAGTGGTACAAAGTATCACTTAATCCGTGATTAAACATGTGGTACTTAACTCGGCGCTATATTGTACAGTACCGAGAAACATGTGTCTGGTTAATTATTTATAATATTAGTAATATTATAAAAAGGATTTGTGGTTGATATCTCCTGGATCCTTAATTATTATGGTTTACCACAATTTAATCGCTGCCACCACAGCATTACTCTCATCAATATTGTAGTTGTAGGAAGACACCGGAAAAATTCAACTTTTGCAATTTTCAATAGAATCACAGATTTCGAAGAAAGGGAGAAATATATAAACCTAATAATTTCGTTAGTAAAATCCAAGACTTATCTGGAAATAAGGTCATGTACAATTTTTCAACAATATGAGCAGTAGCGTATTTTTGGATGAAATGAAGGCAATTTAAAACAATTATTTTCTCAAAAAAGACTCCATATTTTCTCCACGGATAGAACAGAGGATGCTTAGAAACACGGCGCAGGTATCATTTTTGTTGAACACACTGAATTTTCAAAAATAAAAAGAAATGTTTGCAGAGTTGTACTCGTAACAAAGGAAAACGAAATTAAAATTCATTTGTGTGCAATAAAACTAACTTAATACTATAAAAAGTAAAAGTGAACTTTTACCATCAAATATAATATCAATAATGAGAAATACAAACTATATCACGTAAGGAATAACGTAATTAAAAACTCGCACTTCATCTTCTCTGAATAGCAACTCTTTGATTCAGCAATTCGGATATAGTGAGTTCAAGTTGAATATCTTTTCATAGAAAGTAAGTTCGTTAAGGAATCCATTTTCTGCGTTTAAATAAAATACATTTCAAATTTTGTATTGAGAGAGTAATTGGTAATCGATTTGATAGAATAAGAATTTTGAAGATATTATTAAACTAGATCTCACAACCGATGGCTTAATTACATATCAGAAGCTCGTATTTTTTCAATCGTTTTTTAAAGATTAGTAATTATTTTATCACGCTGCAAATTTTTGTCTTTAATTGTTAAAAAAGTTCATTATTTTGTGTACAGTTCCTGCAGCTCTGGTGACGAGTGCAAGTTAATCTACAGAACCTGTTCGCAGACTTTGGTAAGCCTAGGAGCTACGTGTTTAATAGAAAGATGAGAGTATAGTTCTAGTAGTATTTTGTATTTAACAAGTCGTATTTCTGTTGCACGCGCATGGCTTTGCGTTGCGTTAAAATGTCAAAATTAATGAAAAAACATAATTCAAACATTAAACTTTTCTTTTTGAAACCATCAGTAAAGACATCTGTTTACGTTGCAAGGAGTCGTTCATAACGACATTTTATGGCACGGCCGTCCTCCCACCTCGTTCTTGCGGCCGTCGGCCGTCGTCCCCACCGCCCGTCCTCCTGACCGCCGGTCGTCC